GGTCTGTATCGCCCCTGGTCTGTATCGCCCCTGGTCTGTATCGCCCCGTGTGCCGCGCTCGGGGCCGGCCGGAGCTCGAGGGGCCGCAGAGACACAAACCCGGGGCTGGTCTGGGGCAGCTGTTCGGGCCCTGCCGACAGCGACATCCTGGAGCCAGAGAAGCGCGACCTGAGGAGGAACCGGCTCCGGGGACCGGGCTGGAGGGGTGGGGTGGGACCCAACGCCCACCCGATGTCTTCCAAAGGGAGCAGGGCAGGATACTCACTCATCTCCCACAGAATACTCTCAGGAAAAACTATTATAACACAGTATTTAAATAAGCATTTAATTAGGATTCCATTAGTATTAATATTGCTTTCAATTCCAAAAAGGTTAATTTCCACTTCTTTGCAGATATTTCAAAGTACAATATTAACTTCATACAAAATGAGCAATTAAGCAAACACCATTATTTCACATTCTTCAAAAAATACAAATTCATATTTACTCTTTTTTGGGTTTTGGAGATGCTCTTCCTTTGGAAGTACTGTACCTGTAACTAACATCTTCACATTGCTCAATGTAAGCACGTTTGTTCCCATGTTTCAGAGTTAAATAAATTCCTTTATTACATTACACACATTCTTGAGAAACTGGGGTTTAGTTCAGCCACCTCCAAGGCCCCGGGGTGGAACCAGGCTGGGTTTTGCCAGCACTGGGTCAGGGGAGGCAGAACAAAGCAGGGTCAGCCTGAGCAGTGGGAGGACAAGAGTCACAAACCAGGAACACCAGCAACTGCAACTACAGCACTGCAAACACACCCTCAAGTCTGCTGAAAAAAGTTATGTGAAAAAAAAATCTCAAAATTTTCAGAAAAAGTAGAAACTGCATTTATTTGAGAAAGTGTACACTGCATAATGAACCAAATTTTGGCCAGCTTGCACACCACCACAGCACGGGGTGGGGTTTTCACCTAGTTCCAAGAACACACACACTCAGACTATGTACACTACTACATAAATATCCAGTTTAATTTGCATTTCTCAGTGCAGACACAGAATCCAACTTCTAGAACATGTGATAGAACCCAAGACAAGACACAAAAAAGTTAAAAGTTCAGCCCTGTCCATGAGTATCGACTACAGATAACATTTATAAAAACTTGACATTGCTTCCAAAATATGTTACGGAAAAAGTAGTGTACAATTAAAAACTCTGCAGTCAGAAATTCATAGGGTTTATTAAAGACATGCTCTTCTTCTTTGTCTTACAGTCCAAACTGACTCCAGCAGTTCTGCCCAGCTAGCTCAGATCACTCATGCCAAGAAGTTTTCACTCACAGATCTCAAATCATTTCACAGAGACAACTCCCCTGTCCTCATTTCACAGGGAGGTTCCGTGCCTTGCCCGGTGTCTCCCGGCCAGAAGCAGAGGGGAGAATGTGACACCAGGTCCCATCTGCTCTGCCCCACTGCCCTGGCTGCCTCAACTCAGGAACCAAGCCAGGGACAGCTGCTCATCCCCAGTCACCTTCAAGGACAACCACCCTCAGCTCAGCTTCCCCCCCAGCTCCACACCGAGGGCTGGTCCTGGCTCTGGCTCCCAGCCCGGGTTATCCTGGAGCAGGAGTGCCGGAAGCAGCTCCCAGCATTGCTGCAGGTCAAGGACAATGTTGTGGATGGCTGTGGCCATGCCACCCCCAGGAAATAAGGCAGTAACAGGACATCAGAAACCATCTTGAAGACAAATTTCAAAGGTGCAACATGCCTGTTTGAGAGCAGCTTGTCACTTGTGTTCCCACGTGGGTGGCAAACCCAGGACAGGGGAGGAAGGACACACACCGAGGGACACAGTGTGTCCAACAGGAGTGACAAGCGGCCCCCAGAAAGCGTGAGAGAAAAGGCTGATGAAGCACAGTGCTCTCAGTGGGGTATTTGCATAGATTGGACGTTTACTAACGATGCATAATTTGTCTGGGGCATGGGGGAAGGGCAGCACGGCACCAACCACACCTGTTCTGTCAGACAGACACACACAGACCACATGGGACAAGAATCTTTAGCTACAGGTATTGCACCAAGTTAAGTGCTCATCTTTGCACACCCCTGTTAACTTTTACTCAGAGCAAAAATAAACTTTGTGAAAGTATATACAAAAGAAATTGCAGCAATTGGGTTAAAGATAAAATAACCTAAAGTGCATTTTAGATACCAGTATGAGGTTCTGCGAACTAGTCTTCCTGGGCACACTCAGCCTTACACAAGTGCCCAACTCGTACTTTGTTCAATGTAATTCAGTACCAGCATTCAATCAGTGCTGATTTTCCATCTCTCCACCACCTATAAGCATGAAAAGCAACTTCTCCAGCTTTCAGCTGCACGCCAAGTCTGCTCACCCAAGTTCCTGCTTGGCGATCAGAGCTACCAACGCTGGTAACTTGACCCCCTCTACATGTTTAAGCTTCTGCACCCACCTAGAAATTGTGTGACCAAGTAAATCCCCACTAGCACAAACCAGCAAAAACCTTTAACACAGGTGACCCAGAGCAGTGCAGTTTTGCTCTCTGACTGATAATTGAAGGGGTTCATGCAGATTTTGCAGAGGTGGGCACGCTGTTCTGGGAGGCTCTGGCTTATTAATGGGGCGTGCCCCTTTCTTGGAATCCAACATCTCACCAGATCTGCAAGGGCAGAAACTTTCCCCTTTATTAACCATGTTATTGTGAATATGCTACATGCTGGGGCAGAAAGGGGAAGACATGAAATTTTCTGGCCTTGTGGAATCTCAGGGCTTTGCTGCAGCTGCCCTTGGATCTCCTCCCGTCCCAGCACAACACCAATGCCCCGGAGCACAACGTCTGATCACACAGTGCTGGGGATAATGCAAATGTGAAAACATCTCAGACACGCCACACCAACACTCTGGAAAGCAGATCAATGAGAAACAACAAAAGCACACACCTGTACAACACGGCTGGGCGGGTGCACAGCCCGTGCACTCACAGAATCACACGCTCCTGCCTCAGTACAGTCTCTAACCAGTTCCACCTGAATTACAGCCTGCCTGATGCACGTAAAAGAGGGCAGTGGCAAACCCAATGCACCAAAGAGTCAGCAGGACACAGTGCTTTTCCTGGAACATACTGAAAGAAAACAGTAGCTGTGAAGACAAACAGCAGACACTGACCCCAGACACTGCTGCCCATCACTGCAGCTCCACACTGAGTTTCCCAGTTCAGAGACTTTGGTAGTTTCTTCTACTCATTTCTGTCACAAAAGAGTTTCTGAAGATGCTCTCTAGTCCAACCAAGAGTGTTTCAGGTGGACTAAGTCACAAGTAGCAAAAGTAAAAACACCACCCTGAAGGCTGCAAAGGCTCAGAAGAGGTTGCTAAATCTGCCAGCTGTCACAGTGCAGGCCACATCTGGGACACTTGTCCCCATCAGAGAAAACCCCACAACTCCAGGGGAATCTCCACACTCCTGCATCAGCAGTCTCCCACAGGCACACTCATCCCACACCCACTCACCCTCGAACACCACTGCTGCACTGTGCCAAAGGAAAGGCATGAGGCCACGGTGAGGGGCACCAGGGGACCCTACACAGCTTCAGGCGCTCCTCACCCCCCTCCCAAGTGGAGCTCTGTGCACGAGAGCTGGCAGGAGACTCATCCCTGCGAGGAAAGTCCCGGCCATGCAGGCCTGGGACTATTTTTTTTTGTGTTCAAAGCAGTTCTTGCTACCTGCAACCCAACTGCAGCACAAAACAAAGGAGAAAAGCAAAGGGGCCTACGCCTTGCTGCCCTCCAGGGATTGCCATTATAGGAACAAAACATAAAATGCTTTGTTAACCTGTGTTTCATGGATAAAACCCTTGTTGCTGCAGGACCCAGAGTGAGAGCCCTGCAGAGCACTGCCACACCTCCAGAGGAAACACCACCAGTGTGTCTGGTGCCCCGAGTTTGTCCCTGCGATTGCCAACACCGAGCTCTGCCCTGGCACAGCCACATGGCACATCCTGGCCACGAAGCACCCCTGGCACAGCTGCTCACCCTCACGGGACACAGCTTCACCCTTCTGCACTGCACTGGAAGCAAGTTGTCCCTTCAGCCCCTTTCCACCCATGCCGGGGCAGCACATTCCCAAGGGAATGGCACCGTGAGGTCGCTGAAGCCACAGTGGTGTCCCCTCAGGCTACACAGAGGAGTTAAACACCTGCTGATCACCCAGCAGCACTCACAGGGTTCTCCCACACAGGTACAGAGAGCAGCTCTGATCAAATACAAAGAGTGAAACATCTCTATTCACTACAGTTTGCATTCCTAAGTTGAGTGCAGGGACACTCCCCACTAATTGGCTTACAGTCATTATCTTTGTATCTCACTAACAACAACACTGTAAACTGAATAAAAACTATTTAATATTCTTTCCTTTAACACAAGAAGACTGACAGCCAAAGCCAGAAAGATGGATGAAACACTATAAAATTACATCTTTTAAAATAATGCAGCATAAATAAACCATTTAGAATGAGACTGCATTTATTGCAACATTACAGGCTTTTTGGTGGAAGGGGGGGTTTGGATTTGATTTACCCTGAGTAGGTTAGAATATAGACTCTCAGTTTGATATGAAAAACTACTCTGTTGCGTAACATCTTTTAGTCAAGAAATAGCCCCGTTGCAGAAAAAGCTGGCATTGCAGTAGGCTGGAGACAGAGTCAGGCAGAAATTATATAGCTCACCAGAAAAAAAGGAAGCATTTATGGACAGCTGGAGGACAGACTCACTGAATTAAAAATTAATTTATGTTGAATCTTTCTGAAAATTTTCCTAGAGTTGTTCTTCACAAAATATGAGAGTAACCAGCAAAGGCACCGTGCTTCTGATTCAACAGTCCCGGGGTTAGGATGATGACTTGTTGCTGAACAGAGCCAAAGAAATCAAAAGAGCAGCAGGCACCAACCTGACCACACCTGGGACTCACTGCACCCTTCGGAGACAGGCACAGAAAACAGACTCTGGAGCCGGAGGCAGCAGCAGCTCCGACCGCGCTGCCGTGTGACGGTGTCTGAACACACTTGAGTCCTCAGGGATTAACTGAACAGATCTAACAGAGGAACAAGGTACTTGTGCCCTGCCAAAACAAACTCCCCCAAAGTTCCTGCAGGCTTTAGTAACAGCATTAGTACAGCAAACCCAGGCACCAGCTCCCCATCAGGGATGTGACAATTGCATTCCAATCACATTGCAGATAAATCCTCTCCCACAGCAATGCCATTTCCTCCCCCAG